CTATTTGTTGGTAGATTCTTATTTTTTTATAAACTGAATTTTCTCATCAAACGATTTACTTTGGGATGCAGGCGTATAATCAAAATGTAAATATGGCAGCAAATTCGTACTTTGTGCCTGAATCCAGTTCTGCTGAATACTTGAATTACGGTGCTGCAGTAAGTGAGGTAAGAATTTATCTCAACGAGCACCCTATATATGATTTGTCTTACTCGTGATCATTTCTAATTAAGCAGCATTGAGATAGAGTTCGTCTTTCTTATATTAACCATGCTTATTGGACAAGACTAACTTGTGTTATAATCTTCTATTGCAGGTGGAGGTAAATATCCTAACTGGTGAGACAAGAATATTGAGAACGGATATCGTGTATGATTGCGGCCAGAGCTTGAACCCAGCTGTGGACATGGGACAGGTCAACTATCATACTTTGCTTGTATCATGTTGCACAGTTTTCATACCAAAAAAAAAAAGATAATCGATCAAAATTTCACTGGTTTATGCAGATTGAAGGGTCATTCGTACAAGGGCTCGGTTTTTTCATGCTAGAAGAATACACGACCAATTCAGATGGGTTGATTGTTCAAGATGGGATATGGAATTACGAGATCCCGACCATAGACAATATCCCAAGAGAATTCAACGTTGAAATATTGAACAGCGGGCATCACAAGGAACGCATTCTCTCATCTAAAGGTACGTGCCGTTTTGGAGAAAAATTAAACGATGAAATGCTCGATTAGTTAACTTTTTCAGCAAATATTCTGTGTATGCATTGTTATTTGATTAAGTGATTATGTGGTGCAGCTTCTGGTGAGCCCCCACTGCTTCTGGCGGCATCAGTGCACTGTGCCACACGAGCGGCGGTTAAGGAAGCAAGAAAACAGGTGAAGGGTTGGGGAGGTGTGGAAGGGACCGAGTCGACATTCCAGCTGGATGTGCCGGCTACTATGACTGTTGTTAAGCAGCTTTGCGGTCTCAACTCGGTTGAGACTTACTTGCAGTCCTTGCTCTCTGCTTGATTCGACCGAGTCAACTTGCAAGTATTTTTATCCAAGTGTGTTTATGGCTGGTGGTATAAATAAGTGTGTGTAATTACCTTTAAAGTTCTGTTTTTAACTTATAATAAATGTGTGCCAAAAAAAAAAAAAAAAAA